TATGTCAAAATACTTTTAGATCAAAACACACACATACACAGACACTTAAGTATACACCTACAAGTCAAATCCACTCTGGTCTACACCATGGTAAATCTCTACACAGGCACTCCATCTGATCAAACAGCACTCAAAACCATGTGCATTGCTTTAAAAGGGCTACTACCAGCCTGCAGAGAAAGGACTATTTTATTTACTACCTGAATAGACTGTTTTTTGCACACCATTGTCAAAAATGACTTTCTGACAACAGGAGACTAACTGACTTTTTAAATGTCAAATTATGACTTTTAATGTACCATCACACTTGTGGAACACTTCCTTTCTTAGAACATTTTTTTTTCTCTTTACATTAAAAGAGCTAGTATTTAGTGAGTATCTGTGCTTCCTTCAATTTGAGGGGCAAGACGAATTAATTGTGGTCTTGGGGTTTTTATCACATATAAGTAATTTCCTTATTAATAAACACATAGAATTCCAGTTACAATTTAAGGCTGCCAATGAAAACAATGTGATAATGTTTAAGTATTGCTTGTATTGGAGGAGATGGGAACAACCCCAGTGGTGTGGAGGACTATGAGTATTTTGGAGGTGGGTGTGATGTGGTAATAGATCTGAACAAGTGTGAACCTATTCCCCTAAATTATATACAGTATTGTAAACCAATGTTATCTCAAAAAAAAAAAGTAAATAAAAGTTTTGCTAGTATTACTAAAATATCTTCTGAATAATCAATTATGAATTTTAAATATAGATAATTCCAGCTCATACAGTCAGATTCTACTCAGTGTCTGCAGTTAAACATTGGTTGCACACTGGTGATTCCTGTTGTCTGATCACTTTATAGTCCTGTGTACAATCTACCAGCATCTTTTATTTTATAATCAACTATAGTAAAAACAACAATTCCAAAAAACAGCTCTAGGATCAAGCTTCCAAACCTGGCAGGATCTCTCCCCTTAACATAAGGCCCAGTTCACGCTTTCTCCTAGCAACTCATGAATAAACATTCTTTTATTCAAATAAGTTATGTATTAACTAACTCCAGTAATTTTGATTCAACTTTGAATGGTAAATAGACTCATTCTGGCAAGACTGCAGAGTTTGCAATTCAAATTACAGAAATTTTAATAATGGGGAAAATAAAAATTAGTGGCATGATTCCTAAGGCACCATAATTCCAATACTTTTTTTGCAACGGTAGAAAGTGCACATAAATACTTCTCAATTTATAAGCCAACGGCTTTTATTTGGACAGGCATCATCACACATTTACCTGCAATCTCACAGGAGCATACCTGTCAGGGACTCATAGGCACCTGCTAGAACTCAAAAGCTCCTCAGCCCCAGATATTAAGAGGCAATGTTGCTACTTCTCAGTAAATAACAGTGAAATAGTCACTGGATTAAATGATTTCCTTACATTATCACCATAAACAATAATTATTTGGCAGCTGCCCTTTGCGAGCTTTGCATGTGCTTATGAATAAATCAAGCCTTATTGATTTACTAAACCAAAACGTTTTACATTTTGCTCCTCTACTAAGAGCTATAATCCTCCACTGCACTTAGTGATGCTTTCATGTAGTGTGTTTCTTAATACTTTTAACATGAAAGATTAGTACCAATTATCTCATGAGCAGAACACTGCTCTTTGAATGGCCAATTGGCCACTAAACCCAGGCCTCTCTAAACATGTCCTTAATGGAGTTCTCTGCTGCTGATTGGAATCACATCATAATGAAATATGGAGGAGCTACTGCCATGCTGTCCCCCCACCATAAAGCTTAACGTAACAGTGACAACTTGCATTAATTCAAAGAGGAAATTCATTACAGGAAAGCAAGAAAAGAAGGGACTGCAAAGAATGCTCGCGCTTGGTTCATGTCATCTGAAATAATAAAGTCACTTTCTTTCAGTACAGTGACTTCAGAAAATATAGGACTGCTATGGATAATCCCACAGTGCCCTGAAAGATCTTGAGTCCTGCAACCTGAGTCTGCCCAGGAATGACAGTTTTCTCCCTTCTCCCATGAATGGGTAAAATCACCAAAATACACACCACCATCCCCTTGCTTAGTCCAACCATATGTTGAAGCTGTCATCCTCATGCTGAGTGATTCAACTCCACTTCCAATGATCTTGCAATCAGAAACCAATGGGCTCCGAGGTGACAGTCTTTTACTGAGCAGGATTCTAGCCTTTGCAGGTGCTGCTAGATCCAGACACTCACAGTAATTCCCTACCCTAGTTTGCCCCTCCCATCCACTGAAACTTCATTCCAAGAGTAACACAGAAAATTTATTTCCATGCTTTCTACAGATGCCTGAGCTATACTGCCATAGCTGCTAATCCCAAAACAATCTTCATTCCTCATGCATCTACCCAAATAGGAAAACTAACTCCTACTTCTCCATCTTTCCTTTCCAAGGAGCACCAACCAAGGCTCCTTAGAGATCATATACAACAAGCCCCTCATTTCAAAGGTAAGAAAATTGAGAGGAACTCACCCATGTAACTAACTTAACAGGAGAAGCTAGATAAGAAGCCCAGTCTGCCGGCACCAGTCACAGTGTCCCTCTCTTTATACCATCCTCGGGCTCATGGGAGCAGTAAGAAAATCTCTCCATCACCACAAAACGTCCCCCCAAAAACATGATGCGTCAAGGATCGTTCTAACTCACATTAATTATTCTGAGATGCCTTGCAAGATTAAAGTACGACAAAGACTGACCAGGTAGAGTTGCAGAATTTATGATGATATTAGCCCTCTAAGACAGAAAACCACACGAACAAGAATCCTTGTTCAAAAATAGATTCTACGATTCCCAGTGGAACAACTGCCGCCTCTGGCTACAAAGCAATAATTACCCTGTACTACAGCAATCAATAAAACCTTTTGCCCCATGAACCTGCTATTTCCTGACTTTGTTCTCTGTAGTAAAGATTTCCAAGTCGTATCGATTACCTACTAAATTGTTTTAAAGTTCTTTAAAACAAGCAATAAAGAAATTCTCAAATTAGCATAAGTTGTTATTGTGTGAAGAGACTCCAGTTCTTTCCATCACATTAATGGTTTCCCTTTCTACAGGATTTTCCCATTTTTCATTCTAAATTTGTCATTTTAAGTGTGTCTGTCTTGCCTAATAGCACAAAGTCAGTGGGATACAAATTTGATGGTGTTTCTGAAACTGATTGCTGCCACATTTCTCAACCAAGTGAGAGAGAAAAATTGATTAATAAACTATGCCCTCTTTCTCAAGCAACAGCATGGATTTGTACCAAATGAACCCATTAGCTCTTAGTTTTAAAATTCAGTACCCTGGAACTTCTCTCTAAAACCGTTCACACTACAGAATCTATTATAAAGTGAAAGCATCTTGCCCCCCTTACAAGGGTGTTTAGCTACTGAAGCTTCAAACATTCAGAGTGAGTCATGAACGAGCTAAGCAAGGCCAGTGAAAGGCAAAGTAGCCAGGACCTGGGCTTACACACTCTGTCCCCTTCTCTGCCTCTTTCTCTACCTCCCCTCACCCCCATTATCTGTCCTCTGAAACTGAGGCAAGTCTGTCTGAACCATCCTGGGAGTGTGTGGGCATATGTATGGGTGCAAAGTTGGGCAAGGAGATGGATCTCTAATTTTCTAACTAGAACTGTTATTTTCCCAATGTTCCACCAGTACAATTCATTCATCAATACAGGCTTGTTTTATGATATCAGAAATCACAGAAAATTAAATAATACATGTTACAGCCTATCCATTCAACTCAGTGGCTGTTTAAATTCAGAGCAAGATGCAATAGTTAGTATTCAACCTTAAAAAGTCAGGAAATCCTGCCATACACTACTGCATGTATGAAACTTGAGGTCGTTACACTAAGTGAAATAAACCCATCACAAAAGGACAAATATTGCCTGGTTCCCTTTCTCTGGGGCATGTAAAGCTAGTCAACTCAAAGAATAATGTGAATATCCAATGTTTGTTTTTATTGTTCTGATTTACTCATATTCCCATCATATTGTTGAAAATGGCTACATTTCATCCTTTCTTATGGCTATATAATACTCCGTGGTGTGTGTCACATTTCTAAGAAGACATTTTGACTCTTGAGAATTAGCATCAGTTTTCTTCAATACAACATCATGTAATGAAACACAGAGAACAGTGTCGAGATTCAAATATTAGGGACTCAGTTTTTTTTAACAGGATCAGATAAGTTTGTTGAAAGCATTTATAATATGCAGCCACTTCTTTGCAGCAGGACTTTCTCAAAGTCAACACTAGTGGCAGTCTGAGCCCATTAGCTTTGTTTGAGGGCTGTCTTGTGCCTTCTAGATGCTTAGCAGCTTCCCTAACTTCAGCCCACCAGATCCCTTCCCCTATCACAACCATGAATGCCTCCAGAGGTTGCCAAATGTCCTGGGGAGTAAAAGCGCCCCTGTACAAACCACTGCTTTCTAGCAACTGAAGAGATCTGATCTACACAGGCCGTGACAATTCCTTTGAAAGCAATGTCTTTTCTCCTCATCTGTTTGGCTTTGTACATGCTCCCCACCCTGATAGACTCCACATAAAACAGATAAAAATTTATTAGAGAACTTGTCTCAGATGCTCTGTAGCTTTGTTCCAAACGTCAAGTCTCTAAAGCAAAAGAAAAGCAACATACTTCATGACCAAAAGGAGGACTCAATCACTGAAGTACCTTCAGCCTTCCTTTTCTACTTCCAAAACCCATTTGAAGAGGGTCATGTGCCAAATCTTTCCTGTCCTAAAGGTTGCCATTGGCTCAAAGGTCAGATTCAGCTATCACATATGAAAATGCACCCAACTTCCCTCACTCTGTCACGATCATGCTAGAGGACCTCAAGAAGCAGCAACACTAGAAGACATTCCTATCACATCAGCTACCACTCTCTACAAGCATCATGAGCAATGACCACATGGTATGTCAAAGGCTCCTGATATGGGCCCGTGGGCCGCCTAGACGCAGGGCGCTCACCATCTGGGGGCATCAAGGCTTTGTTGTTCTGTGTGCACCACCCCACGGGGTGGAGATCTGCTATCACCACATCACACCAGAAGTCGGCCCGGCGGTCCTCTCCGTAACCACAGTAACGCAAGAGCAGCAGCTGCCCGCAGGTGGTGATGACAGTGGCCACCCAGTAGGTGTCCGGATTGTTCTTATTAGCCACTTCCAATTTCATCCCTGGCTGAAAGTTACTCTGAATGCTGATTTCAACCTTAAGAAACCAGAAACACAGGAAAACCATTATTATACTAGACACATACATTAAGACCTTAAAAACAATATTTCTCTGCCCTAGAACAGCACAAAGAGATATTTAATTGGAACCACAAACAGGGCATTAAATTTCTTGGGAGTCACATTTAAAAGGAAAGAGAAAACAAATGAAGTTAATTTTAATAATCCTATTTCACCCAAGATATTCCAAATGTCATTGTTTTTAAAATGTAACCAATATAAAAAATATTAATGAGATAATTAACATTCTTCTTTTCCAATGAAGCCTCCGGAATCCAGCATAAATTCTGCACTTATAGCACAGCTCCATTTGGACAACACTCTCTTCCAGGGCTCAAAGGCTCCCTGAGGCTTGTGGTAACTGAGTGGACAGCAGAGCCTTGGAGAATGGGTTATTAATTAAGAACTAAAATCTATTAATATTTAGCAGTCCTCCACCTAAAAAATCTTTCCAGCCTAGTGGACATTCCCAAGCTGACATATCTCATCTCTGTGAGTGGCAGCAGTGGTACTGGTGACTTGTCCATGGGTCCAGTGTTACTTTTCCTTTAAATCTGGCCTACAGATCTGGGGAAATTCTACATCCTGAAGGACACTATATTGTAATTGAAAAGGAGATGGAGAACTGAATGAATTAAGGAGAACTGGAGTGACTCCATATTAAGAGATCTTGATAGCTTCCTTGGTACAGAAAGGAAGCAAAATGTTGATCAGTGTCTCTTTCCAACTGCCTCAAGGAATCTAACCAAGTCAGCCCCACACCTTAAGAGGCCAAGGTTATGGGCCTCCCTGGTTGTGCAGGGGTTAAAGACAGAGCTATCAAGCAACTGGCAGGAGAAACCCACATGGTGCAGCAGACCTCTCCTGTCTTGCCTGCTGCTCCCCTCAGCAGTGTATTTCAGTAGATCTGCCTGTTCTGCTCCCCACTCTGTCTCTGGTGAATCCTCTCACCCCCTGCACCTCTGGCCTACACCCCAGTTCTTGTGTGCATAAATTAATAAATCTTTTAAAAAAAAAAAAAGTAAGACACTTGTGCGGGCAGCTGTCATGGAAACAAATGAACACACACATCTCTTTATTTCTAAAGGCTCCTGACCAAATCGCCCCTTTTCTTTCCATTGCATTTCTTCCCATAGGTTATTTGGCATCTTCCTGCTGACTCCCCTCTACCCCGACCATGGTGAGTGGAAAGATGTTTGACGTACATGTTTGAATGAGGTGTGGGGAGCCGCACTGGCTCCTGTTTCTTCCAAATACTCTCCCCAGTTAAAGCCGATTTCCTCCAAGCTTGAACCTTCCTCTGTTGAAAGACAAAAAACAAAAGAGTATCATTACTAGAGTGAAGAATAGAAAGGCACCAGCCCTCAACACAGACCAGAGATTTCTTAATGTAAGAGGCTAAAAATTCAGTGGTGTGGGGGAACACTGGAATTCTTGATATATGACTTCAGTTTGCCGATTTTAGATTCAACTGATGGAAGAAAGGAAACACTGAGGAAATTCTGCCTAGACTACCTTGAAAAATCAAGGGTAAGATTAAGTGTTCTTAGTCAAATGAAACAAGACTAGTTTTGCAAAAAGCTGAGGTAAAGGGAACCGTTTTAAATTTGGGCCAGGGTGGCCATCATACAAACCAGTTTGCTGGTTTGTTTATAGACCTCTGGACTGGGCCAGAAATCCAACATTCCAAGAAGTCACCAAGGTAGGAATACACCATCTGAAAGAACTGACAAAAGTGAACTTTTACCTTGAAGCACCTCCACCTCCACCTGACCACTACTTCATCCATTTCTTTCTTTATAAAAATACCTGCCTTTGTCCCTCCTCAGGACACCATTTGAGGTCCTGCTCAAATCCATGCCCCTCAAATTGTTATTTTCAGACCCCTAGTAAATGCAATTTGACTTTTAATAGCCTCCTGGTTTTTAGGTTAACAGCTTTAAGACATATTTAGCTTTTATCAGTGTGTTCGTTTGGAACTAGTCACTGTGGACACACCAGTCTTTGGGAGATTGGTGAAAGAAACAACAGGTGCTGAGTAAGCACCAACATAGCCAAAGCACTAGCACCTTTGTCCACTGGCTGCTCACTATGGCTGGAGATTATAAAATAATATCATTGATTGGGAGTGCCACAAGGGAATTAGAAAGCACTCATCACAATGTCATTTCAGGGGGGTAAATGAACCCCAGAAGGATTAATCAAGGGTATGAGGTCACAGGCAAGTCAGTGACAGAGACATACCAGCTGGCAGGCAGATCCCTCATGCCCACCCAGACAAGAGCCTGCTCTCCCGGCATGAGAGCCTCCGGGCAAGGCACACCAGTAGAGACCAACAGATGTGTGTTTCCGCATTTACAAGAATCAAGGAGAAACACCACCAGCGTGCAGTCAGACTCTCAAACCATCTTTTGCTCTAAGAAAATCAAGCAATCCCAAAATATTTAAGACTGTACGTAAGATATAAATTGTAGAGTTGAAAAGCAGCAAATAACTCATTTTAAGGTATATGGAACACCTGTCATAGTTTCAAATGTAAAGAATGAACAAGGATTATTTCATCCCATCGGCAACATTAATCATAAAGAACAAACAGCAGACAGGACCGTCCAACCACAGAGATCATTTAGAGCTCCAAAAGTTAAGATGTTCTTTTCTTAAAAGAACGTTCAATCATGTTCAACTGTGTACTTCTACTTGAAAGAGAGTATTTCAATAGCCAAGAATAAATACTGCTTTCAACTGTGTTATTCATGTAGAAGTGACAGACCCTGGCAGGTAGACCCAAAGAATTAGCAATAGGAGTCCAAAAAAGAAAGACTTGTTCCTACAGGTTACCACTACTTTTTTCTACTAGAAATTCTTTAATTATAAATAGGAAAAGTAATTTTCTTATGATACTCTGTACAATCTCAGAAATTGACACAACAGTAATTTTTCAAAATGAGAACGCTAAGTTAAATGGTAGTTACTCTACATGTTGTATTCCAAATCCAAATTGCTGAGAACTGCCTCCTCAAATTGTACTCCCATAAATGCCTAAGGGGCATTTCTTTAAAAAGCTTTCCTTTGTATCTCTCCCAACATTCTGCTTCATCCACAGATTTATGCTTTTCAATCAAATATGTGCTCCCTAAAGAAAGTCAAGCTAAGAAAAAATGCCAGGTGGTTTCCAGCTGAAGACACAGTGAAACAGACTCAAAGAGAAAGCAGTTGAATTGTGGAAAACACCTCTGGGCATCGCCCAACAGTTCTGCCCAAAACTCTTCCCCCAAACAGCACTGAGCATCTATTACCAAGTTTGTTTTCTGATCCAGAGGCCAGAGGCAGCAACAAAGCATGATTTATATGCCCAAGTGGTCTGGTACAGCGTCTGCCGGAGAGCTAACTGTCACAGAGAAAGTTATATTTCTTTACTCACTACCTGTCTATCCCACCTCAGCTGACACTGCTTCTTACAGACCTGCCTGGGTCCAGCATTTCTGGCTCCACCGAGCACCACACCCATCACCCCGTCATTCCACTGGGGCAGCCGTACTGCCTGCTAAGTCTTTCTATGTATTGCCTCATTGAACCCTTCCAAGAATGTTGACAGACGGACACTACTGTCCCCATTTCACAGAAGAGGTGACAGGGGCCCAGAAAGGCGAGGGAGTCCCCAGGGTGGACACGCTATCGGCTGTGGAGGCAGGAGTCCAGTGCAAGCTGTCAGATTTCCAAGCTGGACTTTCATGAGGCTGCGTGTCTCTGAGGCATCAGACATGGCTGCTGCCACCCCCTGGAGTTCAAGTCCGAGTCCAAAGCCCACTTCTGTGATGGCGAGCATTGAGGCATTCCAGACTGAAGTCAGGTCTCGTAAACACAGGAGAAGGGTTGAGGCAGAGGCGGTAGCCGCCCTGGGAGAGGAAAGCATGGGTAGCGTCCCTGGAACTGGTGTGTAACGAAGAAAGACCCAGGAAGAAGATGTGACACAAAACTACAGAGGCATTAGTACTAGGGGGCTCCTGGTTGAGATTACCCAAAAAAAAACTCCAAAAATAGGAACAGGCTCTCTTAGCCATCACCAGTTCTCTCCCATTCATGCCGACACTGAGCTGTGTGGAGGGGCTGCTGCAGCCAGAGCCTGGGACCAGAATGATGAACCTCAGAGCTATTCCTGGAAACCACTAGATGATTCTATTGCAATCAGCTTCAGAAAGACCACAGCCTGAGTACCTCAACTTCAACTATTGGACCATTCCTTGCTGGTCATTTTCTTCACAAAATTCTAACCAAGGCTCTAGTGCTTTCACAAAAATTTGTTTCCAGCAAGTATGAATTCATTACAAACTGCATTCTCAGTCTCTTCTGCCAGCATGGCAGCCTGTAGCTGCTCTCATGCTCGCTGAGGTACGCTCGCAAGTTAGCCCAGGCACAAGAGGGTCCCTCTGACGCCCACCTCAGTAGGAAAGAACAGTGCTCAGGAAAGCTCACTCACTCTCTGTGGCCTAAAAAAAATACTCTTAAAAGCATCCTAAGTCAGACCTACAGTGGGATTCAAAAAAAATTCAAATCTTGGGCCTCCCCGGTGGCGCAGCGGTTGGTTGAGCGCTGGGTAGCGAAGCTGCCCGCAGCCTCTGCAGTGCCGGTTCGATCCCCGGCTGCTCCCCGGCCACCGGAGGAGGGTCCCACATGGCGAGCAGACCTCTCCTGCCGCCCGCTGCTCCCCTCAGCAGTGTACTTTGGTCCTTCTGCCTGCTCTGCTCCCCGCTCTGGCTCTGGTGAATTCTCTCACCCTCCCGTGCTTCTGACTGTACCCAGTGCTTGTATAAATAAATAAATAAATAAATAAATAAATAAATAAATAAATAAATAAATAAATAAATAAATAAATGAATCTTTAAAAATAAAATAAATAAATAAAAACACAGTGCTTGTTCCTGGACTATCTCCCCTTTAAAAAAAAAATTTCAAATCTTAAGCCCCATACTAGTAACTTTAACTGTGCTATTTAATAAAGCCATTCAGAAAAGGGAGGTTCCTCATAATACAGCCTTTTCAAATTTGTAACATGAAACATTTCCTCTGGCACGTGTGCCCTGAGCAGCAGATTCTCTAAAAATGTTTCAATGAGCAATAGATAAACACACACAATGTTTATGAGTGGGGGGGGCTCATAAACCCAGAGCAAATATTTACAGCTGATTCATAAACCTATTAAGCCCATAAACATTTTATCAAGGAAACTCTGACAATCTCCCTCCTCCACTTCGCCCGTTGTAATGAAAACAGACCATGAGAGCTACTAAGACCATTTCACAATTTCAAAGAAAACAGGCAAGTCCATTAGTGGTATCCAGTTTTAGGAAACAGAAAGCTACTTATGGGGGTTTGAATATTTCATAATAAATAGAAAAAGAGGACCTTATTAAAATAAAAGCCGGAGTGCAACTTTACAGTGAACAACGGAATAAACAAATGGCTCATACACCTTGTTTAAGTTATCAAATCTTGGGCTATACAATTTTCAGTCTGAAATAAGGCTGAATATTGAATCTCATAACTACTCTCCAGTGGGGCAGTGGAGGACCAGCAGGAACACAGTCTCACACAGCACTTTCTTGTGTGTGTGCTACATAATTGGATTCATGAGGAAAGGGAAAGGAAGACATCAAATTTTTGTTATTTTTAACTGCTGATAGTTCATATGATCACAAGGTTTAGGACACAGTTCCATTGTGAGTATATTACACAGATACACAGTACAAATGAAAGAAAACAATACTAGCACGGAGTTCACTCTGCAGGCTTGCACTCGGCAAGGAGGGACAGTCACCCGACCAGAGGTCCTTGAACTGTCTCAATGACCCAGACAGCAAGTTTTTCCAGAAAAACGAGAACTGGTAAAAGTCATCCCATCACCTAGCGAGGGGAACCAACAACTATTCAAAAGAGCATGAGAAAAAAGGAGAAAAACGAGAGAGCTGAACTTTTCTAATAAGAATGTGACTCTTTTCCTTCCCAAGAAGAAAAGTCTGTGGGACTCCATTTAATATATTCTAATGCCACACACCCTTCCCAAAAGCCCATATTTCCAGCGTAATTCTTTTTACTCAGAGCCTCACCCAGTGTAAACGTGCAACACCACTTTAGCTACAGATTTCATCAGGAAATTACATTTAGCCAGCCTAGAAAAATAACGCCAAGGAATCTATTTATCAGTATGTCAGCATATTGTTGTGCTCGCTTTTATCACGGCAATTGGAGAAGCCTGGAGTTCTAGAAATCCAATTTTGGGCCACTTCCTTCTTTGTGTGCCCGTGACAGTGATGTCCATTCCGTCACTGGGGGGCCTTCCGTTCATCTGCCCCTGCTCAACTCAGCGGCATCCGCAGCCTTTCAGGAGGAGGAGTAATTTTACATTGTAGCTATAAATTCAAGAAACTCTGGGTCAGACATTGACCCCAATTATGATTTGAGCTTTCCTTAGAAAAAGAGGCAAAACTAGAAAATGAAAAAGCTGTTAATGAGACTTAGAGTGCAGTGTTTAAAGCTTTCATTTCAGAGGAATGGGGCATCTGTGCTAGGAACTGCAGCAGGTGGGACAGGGAACCGACCGACAGATCAGTGCGTGTACACTAGACTTTCTGTTCTCCGGCCCCGTAATACTTTAGCAAAGAGGAGCTGTGGGCCCATATATGTGTCATTGTCAGGAAGATGCAGTTGCCCATCACATAACATTCAGGGAGAGAGATTAAGAGATGAGTGGAAGAGAAGATGAAAAGGTACTGGGGCCTCCCTGGTGGCTCAAGGGGTTAAGTTGCAGCATTATGAAGCTATCCACAGCCACTGCAGCACGAGTTCGATCCCCGGCCAGCCCACATGGTGCAGCAGACCTCACATATCTTGCCTGCTGCTCCCCAGAGCAGTGTATTTCAGTCAATCTGCCTGTTCTGTTCCCCACTTGTCTCTGGTGAATCCTATCTCCCTGCACCTCTGGTCTGTACCCCATTTCTTATATACATAAATAAATAAATCTTTAAAAAAGAAGAAGGGAGAGAACTAACCTGTGTCCCAGAAAGAAAGGGGGGAAGGAGGGCATGAGGGGTGTATTTGTGGACACATTTAAGCATCAAGGGTGTCTGGTCTCTGCTCTGAACCACAGAACAGCTCAGACTTCACAACACAAGCTTTTGAGGCTCATGAAGCCCAAGATGAAATCCAGGCTCCAACACAAAAGCCAAGGACTTCACCATGTCATCTAGTTTCCCCACCAATAAAAGGGGAATAATAAGAGCAGCTATTTCACAGGTTCTGAAAGGATTCAACAATTCAATACATGGAAATTACCTAAGAGGGTCTGCCACTTAGTTTGGACTCAGGATGGTGTACCTAATGGTCCGAAGTCCATTCAGACACAGCTAAAGAACAATGAACGTGCTATCTCTCGTTCACTCAAGATGTCAGTCACATCTGGAACACTCCTGGGGAAGACCCCGGACACCACGATCCTGCCCTAAACATGGCAACAGAAGTTCCATTCTATTATCCCCCAGCTGATAATAGAATGGAAAATGTTTTATGTATTAACAGGTTAAAAGAGAACAACTTGAAGGCTCATTCTTCAGTATGTTACAGTTTAAATGTTCAAAATCAGATGAGTTTCCAGAAGTCAGCCTCTGCTCTCTACAAAGGCTTAGATCCTGCTTTAAATTTGTTTCCTCTTTAGGAGTCTGTCTTTATGGCACCATGTAAAAGCCCCTTATCGCATAAGTACAAACAGAAATTCCATAAAGATAGGACACATTCACCATACGGTGGGGCGGGGGAAGAAATATCAGTGCCAACATCTAAAATATGTTCAGATAATTTAAAGCAGTTGAGAACTACTGTTTCTACCAAAGACCTTAACACCTTGGCTTGGGCCTCCCACCAAACAACAGTGAAGAACTAACCCATTCATAGAAATCACCCACGAGGGAGTCAGTACAAATAACTGCCATATTATTATTAATGAGTTTCAGAAATTACTTAAGCTGGAGAGAGATACTGCAGCTGCATGGAAATGAAAAGTCAACACCAAGTTGGCTTTTAAACGGTTTTGAAAACATACCATAGAAAATGATGCAATAATAAACCTCAGATGTGTGTGTGATAAGAAAGCCGAGGTAGTTCCAGACCAAAGGTGGGAAAACCACCTCACTCAGCAAACTTGAAAAAGATGTTTTTAAAGATTCCTTTTTGCTTTAAATAAAAATAGCATAAATAGGGTGAAACTTCACCTGAAGGACCAGAAAAGAATTTCCATATTCCCATTGGAAGACACTGACTCAGCTGTGCTTTTAAGTTTCCTCACTCCTACTTCATGTACAGAAAAACTGACATGGGGAGAACTAAGCTGATTTTGAAGCAGATACTGATATCTTTCAACATATTTAGAAAATTATTTCAGGGCTTTCCAGATTTTTTTCCAGAAAAAGAGAATTCCAAATAAACACATATTTTGAGAAACTTAATTAATTCAGTAATACCAAGTAAGACTGTAATTCTGTCATTGGCTGAGCTCATCAAAATATGAAGACAGGGGCCTCCCTGGCAGCACTAGGGGTTAAGACGCAACCTAAGAAGCTGACTCTGCAGCACGAGTTCAATCCCCAGCCAGGGAGCAACCCACATGGCACAGCAGACTCTCCTGACTCACCCGCTGCTCCCCTCAGCAGTGTATTTCAGTCAGTCTGCCTGTTCTGTTCCCCACTCTGTCTCAGGTGAATCCTCTCACCCCCACACCTCTGGCCTGTACCCCCATTCTTGTATGCATAAATAAATAAATCTTTTTAAAAAATGTGAAGACAAATTTCACATCTTTGGATAATGATCAAATCTCCTATTGAGTTAATGATCAACATTTTTTTTCATGAATTACCACAGCAAATGCTTATAACTCAGAGAGCTAATTTGTCCTTATTTAACATATTGCAATGCAAATTAGTGCAGTTCTTTTAAAACTATATATATAAAACTTTTTAAAGTAAACTATTATGTATTTAGAAAAAGATGCATTTATAAGTTTATTAATTAACTATTAAAATACAATCAAAGCCCTTTTTAAGATTCCTTAAAAGGAGAAACACTTGACTACAAATTCATTCTTTCTTTTGCATTATGCACGTTTCTAAAAGGTGTGCTCAAGGTTTTAGAAAGGACCTTAGGTGGTGGCATCTAAAGCTTGGGCAGGGTTGGCTCCCCTCTTTCTTCAACACATGGGAAAGAATTCTGTCTCTCTGGGTCCAGCCAGTGGCAGAAACACATGAATGGTTCTGTTGCTCAACAGGTTCTAAGCAAAAGCTACACCGGGCTCTTCTGAGCTAGAGCTCTTCCTGCTGATTTAGACCCCAGGTTCTTGCCCTGGAGGGAGTCCTCATGCAGAGCACTGAGATCCTGGCTAGAAAATGGTGTGTCTAGAATGGCAGGTTGGACTCTATCTGCAATAGTGTAAATGTGTTTAAATATGTATTGTGTTAAGTTATTGAGATTTTGAAGTGATGGGTCACCTCACTATAACCTATCCCACTCTGTCCAGTATTGGTAATATTCATTTTGAACAAAATCAATCACTTTCAGGCTACTCTATCCTTAATTATGACAGAAAATTCTAGACTCAGGAAGTATGTGAGCTCTAAGAATGTTGCCCCATTGTTTTCTGAAAATCTTAGGAAAAATTGGTCAATAAATCAAAAAGCCAAATGGACCCAGAAAACAAAATCCTACCTGAATCAAGATCACCATTACTGTTAGCTGAGCTTTGATGTTTATCCAAGGGCGAGGACGAAGGGTCTTGCATCTTGGAAACTGACAAACTGTTCTCCATTTCTAATGAGTAAGATTCCTCTTCTCTTAATTCATTCTACAGAAAGAAGTACCTAAGGGGGGGGGGAGGGGAAAATCAGAGCATTTTAATTAGAATCACTTGCCTTTAAATTCTTCAAAAATAACAGCATCCTATTAGAGCTGCTACTTTTCATTATAACATACAGGACACAATGTAGGGCTGATAAAAGAAAAATACCAGGAACAACCACCCAAGGATACCTGCCAGCACCAGGTCAACAACTAAAGTCATAGAATCGCAAAACCATTGATTTTCCATAGGTCAATATCACCATGAAACGGGATACATTTTTCACCAACCAACAAAATCTACATTTCCATCCCCAATCATCCTTAGTAGCATTTGCAAGACACTTTACCACCTAACTGTTTCCTCCTCTCTCCATGCTCGAAGCAGCCAGGTCCCAGCACCCTTCACACACAGCAAGACCAAGGGGATTCCTTAACAAACCTAGTTAAAAAAGCATCAACGTTGGTGAATTGGTCTTTTCCTGTACAATATATGGCCATTCCTCACCTGCATTCTGGTGTGACTGGTGGAATAGTGGTAAAATTGCATCCAATTCTCACAGAATCCTACAATCTAGCTTGACTATACCATAGACCATGAAATACCCTAGCACGTTCTTACTGAGGGTCCATGGTTCACAGTCCTGGTGATTAAAATGCACAGCTGCTTGGGGTGTTAGCTCTTTCATTCATTCAATGCTCCCTTTTATTTCACATATAGATAAAAAAATTTAAATCAGTAAAAGGGCAAAATAGATGAAGAAAACAAAGGACAGTGCATTTATTCCTACAAAATAAATATTCCTGTGACTCACATACCATTACAGTATCTTTTAAGAATACCACACATTTCTTAAAATACACACATGCACACACCCCTTTGGGTGCTCCTTCGTTTATTTTCCTTAAAAATATTCTCATGTTTCATCAAAATTAAAGGTCTATAAAAGAATGTGTTAATCATTTGTACAATGACAGGAAAAGACTAAAACTGTTGCAAAAAGGTGACAAGAAAAGACTGGAAATGTACCAGGTATGCAGCACTGGAATTCAATTCGGCATGTATTTACTATGTACTATACCAGACACTATGGAGATGATACAATGCCATTTCTCAATCATAATACAAAGAAAGAAAATGCCTATTTTACAATAGGAAATAAAATATCTGGAATGGTTCATTTAACAGCAATCAAGGCATCTTGCTAGGACAAAGTACATGAATAAGCAAATAAAATGAAAAATATCAGACAATTATAAACAACTAGGAGATTATCCTCCATTCATCTGGCACAGGGGCTTATAGTTTCTGAAGCAAAAATAAGGGTTCTTTCCTGAAGAGGGGAAGTCAAGAGCAAGGATGCAAACAGTTTAAATCAGACCATCCCAGATCAAATGAGAGTCAAGGTTAAAAGGCTATGCATGAAATGGTTTCTATGGTTTATTTGAAAGTCACATAAAGAAAGGTAAACAGGCAAGCACCATGACTAAAGACCTGTACTAATTATAGCACTACTGGGGATGTGGTAGAGAAAGCAAGGGAAAACAGTCCTAATCTCAGTTCTCTAGCAGATTCTAGGAAAGACAGTGTAAGAAAATAGGAAAGGCTTAAACCAAAAACTTCACAAACAGAAGTTATATCACAAGTGAATCACTTGGTGCTGTTTCTAAAAGCTTAGTTGAAAACACCACCAAATAAAACACCACCAAATAACCCATTTAATGAACTGGTGGGGTTTAAGCTTATTTAAAATGGAGAGGAGGCATAGTATGGAGTCTCCAAAAATGATGATCACAAAAACCACACGGCTACATGAAAGAGGCCTGAGTGTGCAAACAAAGAAACATACCTGTATTTGAAGAGTAAACAGGGAACAAAGAAGCAGAAAGGGGCTACATGGTGTTACAATACAAAAAGCTCCTCTGTTTACAGATTCCCAGATTTCAGATGTTCATAAATGTGAGTAAAACTCCAGTCCAAGAAAATAATATATAATAAATGGGTGTTCACAAGGTACGTTTTCACTTGTCAAATTCAGGCCTAAAGTAATGTGCTCTGTGTGTGTGTGTGTGTGTGTGTGTGTGTTTATATTTGAGATGTCTCAAGAATACAATTTACTCCAACTAGCCTGCTAAGTGCCAAAGCAATGATGGCCTCTTAGTGAGAAGACACCTAGGTGGATGGTGGGGAAAAAGTGGAACTTCAGGGCCTCCCTGGCGGCTGAGGGGTTAGTTCTCAGCACAGCCTGAACTTGATCCCCGGCCAGGGAGCTGACCCACATGGCACAGCAGACCTCCCCAGTCTCGCCTGGAGCTCCCCTCAGCAGTGTATTTCAGGAAATCTGCCGGTTCAGCTCCCTGCTCTGTCTCTGATGAATCATCTCACCCCTGGACCTCTGGCCTACACCCCAGTTCATCTACACAAATAAAAAAAAAGTGGAACTTCAGTGTTTACACCCATGGGTCACTTGTTAGTGTTATTTGGATGTAAAATGAATGAACTTCTCTGCAGACTTTGGAAAGTTAACCAGTTAGCCAGAGGAGGTTTTGTACCTCCAAACATAAGCAATGGAAGCATAAGCATGGTAAGCACATACTACAGACCGCATGTGCAGCACCCCAAAACTCATATGTTGAAGCTCTAGCACCCAGGGATAAAATATGGAGGTGATTAGGCCAGAAGGGCCAGCCCTCATGATGGGATCAGTACCCTATAAAAGACACCCCACAGGGCCTCCCTGGTGGTGCAAGGGGTTAAGATGCAACCTATGAAACTGTCCGCAGCCAATGCAGCACGAGTTCTATCCCCGGCCAGGGAGCTACCCACATGGTGCAGCAGACCTCTCCTGTCTCACCCACTGCTCCCCTCAGCGATGTACTTAGGTCGATCTGCTTGTTCTGTTCCCCACTCTGTTTCTGGGGAACCCTCTCATCCCCCACAACTCTGGCCTGTACCCCAGTTCTTGTATGTATGAATAAATCTTTAAAAGAGAGAGAGAGAGACCCCATAGAGCTCTCTTACCCCTTCCACCACGTGAGGACATGGAGAGATGAACCAGAAAGTGGGCCCTCACCAGACACCAAGTGTCCCCTTGACCCTGGACTCCCAGCCTGTAGGGCTGCAAGAAATAAGCTACCTAGTCCATGTTTTGTTATAGAAGCCCAAACAGATTAGGATATAAACTTTTAAAATTATTCTACCAACACATGAGGTGATTATTAAGTACTTCATAAAATATGCATTCATTTTATCTGAATAATATAAGGGACCAAGTAACTTGCCCAGGGTCACACGGCTGGCTAGTGGATGAGCTTTGAAGCCCCACAACCTGGCTTCAGAATCCACACCTATCTTATTTTACTTAGGCTGCTGTAACAAAACATCATCGCTTTGCAGCACTATTTACAATAGGTAAACTATGGAAACAACCCAAATGCCCAAAAATACATGACTGGATCAAGAAGATGTGGTACATACACACAACGGAATATTATTCAGCAATCTAAAAAGATAAACTCAGGGCCTCCTTGGTGGCGCAAGGGGTTAAGCACCACACTATGAAGCAATCCACAACCTCTGCAGCACGAGTTCAATCCCCAGGCCGGCCAGAAAGCAGCCCACATGGCACAGCAGAACTCTCCTATCTCAACCGCTGCTCCCCCAGCAGTGTATTTCAGTCAGTCTGCCTGTTCTGCTCCCCACTTTGTCTCTGATGAATCCTCTCACCCTGCGCATCTCTGGCCTGTATCCCAGCTCTTGTATGCATAAATAAACAAATCTTAAAAAAAAAATGCAGTCCTTAATAATGCCCTTAACCGTTAACATAAGTTATCCATGGCAAAGGTGCCAACTCTCCCATTACTAGGTTTTCTCTAATGGCCTGTTACTTCTATGCATTTAGAAGTGATCATTTTTTAATAACTGAGTAGTTGTCATGGAGAAGGGGCAATGGAAAGAAATACGACTAAAATATCAGAGGAGTGGTAACTCAGACCTGAAATTTACCTGGAGCACTTAACACTCCTAGGCATGAGCAGTTATTGCCCAAATTCCTCCAGAAAAGCTCCCTTGAGGGCGAATATTACATGTTTCTTAGAAAATTCTAAAACACATGCAATTTTAAATTGACTGGAAGGTAAATGCAGTGAGTGTGCAATTTCACTGTGTAAGCATTAACTGAACATCTGGTTTACATGTGCAGACACTGCTCTGGGCACTGGGGACAGACACATAAACACCAGCAGCATAACATTGCTGCAATGAAGCAATGGCCTAGTTCAGAAGCCCAAGGCAAGACCCAAGTCAAGGTGAGCAAAGGGTGATAGGAATACAGAGACAGGCAACAGAAAATGAAGAGGGAGCAGGAGGAGAAGACGTTAAGAGGAAAGTAAAAGGTCAAGTAGGGACTCCCTGGTGGCGCCGGAGGTTTAGCTCAGCACTGTGAAGCTGTCCATGGCCTCTGCAGTGCTGGTTCTATCCCCACCCGCGGAGCAACCCACATGGCGAGCAGACCTCTCCTGTCTCAACCACTGCTCCCCTCAGCAGTGTATGTTGTTAGGCTGCCTGTTCTGTTCCCCACTTTGTCTCTGGTGAATCCTCTCACTCTCCTGCACATCTAGCCTGTACCCCAGTTCTTGTATAAACAAATAAATCTTTAAAAAAAAAAAAAAAAAAGAGGAAACTAAAAGGTCAAGTAGGAGTATAGGCCTAAAAGACTTAGGAAATAGAAAAATACATCAAACATGGAGGCACAATGTAAAAGAGCATGTAAATCTATGTGAAAAGTCCTTCAGTCATTAATTACAGAGTAGAAGACTGTGGGTGAGTGCTATCCTTTCCATTCAGTCCCAAATAGTCATTCATGCCCTTTTTAAAGTGTCAGCCACTGTTTTAGGCATTCAGAAACATCTGGAACAACAAAATCTCCTGTCCTAGTAGACATGATAGTGGAAAGAAAAGTCACACATTTTTTAAATAAGTAAATTATATAGTATGTTAAGAGGTGGCAAGGTAAAGGTAAAA